TCCGCTCTAGCTTCGTCTGTCTGTGTGCTTTCAACAATCTAAAAAGATCGCTCTGCTGACTAGCTACATATAGTTTAATGCCTTTTATGTAAACATACTAGACTGTTATGAACAAGCCTGACCAAAGAAGGATTATATCAAAACTGAGGTAAGCTTATTATTAATTTACTTTGAACGTGGCAGAGGCTGACTTAGTCCACTAACATTATGATAGGCTGCTAACAGCTAGCGAACTAGACACAAAGCGCTAAGTTTACAATGATTCATGTGAACTGTTTAGTTAAGGTTACACAGTGTTTGTACTCAGGCATGTGAACACTGAATAATTTTTCAACACTCTCATTGACTTTTTATAAGCGAATCATACTTCAATCATACTGAATCATACTAATTCATACTTTTTAAAATATTCAGCTTTATTCTGAAAATTTTGCCCCATTCAAATGAATGGGGAAATTCAACTTCAGCATACTTTCAGCTATTTCAGCTATCAAAATGTTCAACTCTTCAAGGACATTCATGCTTCTATTCAGAGGTTTTCTAAACTTCATACTTTTATAATATTTAGCTTTATTCTGAAAATATTTCCCCATTCAAATGAATGAGAAATTTTAACTTCAGCATACCATTATCTATTTCAGGTACTAAAATGTTTAGCTCTTCCAGGACAGTCATGCTTCTCTTCAGAGGATTTCTAAACTTCATACAATTGAAATATTTAGCTTTATAATGAAAATCTTGCTCACTCAAATGAATGGGAAATTTCAACTTAAGCATAATTTCAGGTATCAAAATGTTCAGCTCTTCAAGGACATTCATGCTTCTATTCAGAGGTTTTCTAAACTTCATACTTTTATAATATTTAGCTTTATTCTGAAAATATTTCCCCATTCAAATGAATGAGAAATTTTAACTTCAGCATACCATTATCTATTTCAGGTACTAAAATGTTTAGCTCTTCCAGGACAGTCATGCTTCTCTTCAGAGGATTTCTAAACTTCATACAATTGAAATATTTAGCTTTATAATGAAAATCTTGCTCACTCAAATGAATGGGAAATTTCAACTTAAGCATAATTTCAGGTATCAAAATGTTCAGCTCTTCAAGGACATTCATGCTTCTATTCAGAGGTTTTCTAAACTTCATACTTTTATAATATTTAGCTTTATTCTGAAAATATTTCCCCATTCAAATGAATGAGAAATTTTAACTTCAGCATACCATTATCTATTTCAGGTACTAAAATGTTTAGCTCTTCCAGGACAGTCATGCTTCTCTTCAGAGGATTTCTAAACTTCATACAATTGAAATATTTAGCTTTATAATGAAAATCTTGCTCACTCAAATGAATGGGAAATTTCAACTTAAGCATAATTTCAGGTATCAAAATGTTCAGCTCTTCAAGGACATTCATGCTTCTATTCAGAGGTTTTCTAAACTTCATACTTTTATAATATTTAGCTTTATTCTGAAAATATTTCCCCATTCAAATGAATGAGAAATTTTAACTTCAGCATACCATTATCTATTTCAGGTACTAAAATGTTTAGCTCTTCCAGGACAGTCATGCTTCTCTTCAGAGGATTTCTAAACTTCATACAATTGAAATATTTAGCTTTATAATGAAAATCTTGCTCACTCAAATGAATGGGAAATTTCAACTTAAGCATAATTTCAGGTATCAAAATGTTCAGCTCTTCAAGGACATTCATGCTTCTATTCAGAGGTTTTCTAAACTTCATACTTTTATAATATTTAGCTTTATTCTGAAAATATTTCCCCATTCAAATGAATGAGAAATTTTAACTTCAGCATACCATTATCTATTTCAGGTACTAAAATGTTTAGCTCTTCCAGGACAGTCATGCTTCTCTTCAGAGGATTTCTAAACTTCATACAATTGAAATATTTAGCTTTATAATGAAAATCTTGCTCACTCAAATGAATGGGAAATTTCAACTTAAGCATAATTTCAGGTATCAAAATGTTCAGCTCTTCAAGGACATTCATGCTTCTATTCAGAGGTTTTCTAAACTTCATACTTTTATAATATTTAGCTTTATTCTGAAAATATTTCCCCATTCAAATGAATGAGAAATTTTAACTTCAGCATACCATTATCTATTTCAGGTACTAAAATGTTTAGCTCTTCCAGGACAGTCATGCTTCTCTTCAGAGGTTTTCTAAACTTCATACAATTGAAATATTTAGCTTTATAATGAAAATCTTGCTCACTCAAATGAATGGGAAATTTCAACTTAAGCATAATTTCAGGTATCAAAATGTTCAGCTCTTCAAGGACATTGAAACTTATAAACCTTAGACCTTTGGAAATATTTTGCTTTATTTTGAAAGTTTTGCCCCATTCAAATGAATGGGAAAATTCTACTTCAGCATACTTTTACCTATTTCAGGCAGCAAATTGTTCAGCTATTCAAGGACATTCATGCTTCTAATCAGACTTTTTCTAAACTTCATATTTTTTTAAATGTTTAGCTTTATTTTAAAAATCTTGCCCCATTCAAATGAATGGGGAAATTCTAGCTCAGAATACTTGCAGCTCTTAAAATGTTCAGCTCTGCAAGGACATTCATGCTTCTAATCAGACTTTTTCTAAACTTCATATTTTTTTAAATGTTTAGCTTTATTTTAAAAATCTTGCCCCATTCAAATGAATGGGGAAATTCTAGCTCAGAATACTTGCAGCTCTTAAAATGTTCAGCTCTGCAAGGACATTCATGCTTCTAATCAGACTTTTTCTAAACTTCATATTTTTTTAAATGTTTAGCTTTATTTTAAAAATCTTGCCCCATTCAAATGAATGGGGAAATTCTAGCTCAGAATACTTGCAGCTCTTAAAATGTTCAGCTCTGCAAGGACATTCATGCTTCTAATCAGACTTTTTCTAAACTTCATATTTTTTTAAATGTTTAGCTTTATTTTAAAAATCTTGCCCCATTCAAATGAATGGGGAAATTCTAGCTCAGAATACTTGCAGCTCTTAAAATGTTCAGCTCTGCAAGGACATTCATGCTTCTAATCAGACTTTTTCTAAACTTCATATTTTTTTAAATGTTTAGCTTTATTTTAAAAATCTTGCCCCATTCAAATGAATGGGGAAATTCTAGCTCAGAATACTTGCAGCTCTTAAAATGTTCAGCTCTGCAAGGACATTCATGCTTCTAATCAGACTTTTTCTAAACTTCATATTTTTTTAAATGTTTAGCTTTATTTTAAAAATCTTGCCCCATTCAAATGAATGGGAAAATTCTTCAGCATACTTTCAGCTATACAGGCCATTGAGGTATTTTTCTGTTCAATTCTTCAGGGACATCCCTGCTTGTATTTTTTCTTTTTTATGCCATTTGTACTGTTTAATTAGCTTTATTGTTTGCAATACAAGTCAATGGGAACTCAAAGTGCTGATTCAATGACACAGGCTTGGAGTGCAATCTGGTGGTTATAAAATGCAGCGCAATTGAGACCTGCCACTACATAAATCC